TTACATTCTTTTACATTAAGTCTAAAATTAAATCTTAGAAAAAATTTTGTTGTTACAAAACGCTGGCTATTTTTTTTTTTTTTTTGGTTGTAGCCATCATTGTTGTTAGGTGGGCCTGGGCTGGATTTGAACCCGTCACCTTAGGTGTATGTGGCTGGCGCCTTAGCCACTTGAGCCACAGGTGCCGAGCCCATAATAGTTTTTTATCAAGGTTAATTTTTATGAAGCTTTCAATTTAAAAAAAGAAAAACACTTGTGTATTCAGTAGGGAAGAAACAATCCTGTTTATTAACCTTACTGCATATTCAGGAAGGATTAAAAAACTCACACATTTTCTGGGACACAAAACTGTACCAAAAGTATTTCCTTACAAAATAACTTCACAGATCAATATTCTTGAACAGACACAAAGACATACAAACTGACATACATTAGCTTGAATTAATGCACAATTCAAATGTTTTTGCAGCCAGCAACTTTCTACGAGAAAGTGCACTAACATGAGAGTGTATGTTTCCTTAACGCCTTAAAAATAGTAATAAAAAATTACAAAATAATGTAAATATAGAATTAAGGCTGAGACTATATAATCTAGTATTAAAGTCAAACAATACTTATAAAAATTGATGCTGCTGGATATTATATATTTGTATATATATATAGGATAAGTCTTTAGTTTTGAAATGCTACTGTTGTCACAAGTTCACTCATCAATTTACTGTTTTTCTATCTTAACATGTCAATTTCCAGATACCTGTGCTTTTTAAATTTTTGTCCTGAATTCTTCATTGAGCTTCCTCATATATTTACAATTAAATATCTAGCCTCTAGACCCTTCCTTACACAAAAGACAAAACATCTTTGTTAAATAAATTCACACAAAAGTAATTAAAAGGTTTTCAAGAAAGAGGTCTAACGTATTTGTTATAATTATACTGAAAAATAGTACGTATACTTTTCTTCAGGATTAATAAAAGCTATATGCCAATTTTACAGTCACAGCACAGTTTCCTCTGACACATTTGCAAGATGACAACCAAAGGGCACGACGACTGAAATAACTCTAGAAAGTCCATTCTGTCCAGTGAGATTCATAAAATTGAATGTTGCTTCCAGTCCCATCTGGATGAACATGAAAATTCATGACCAGATACTTGTATTGTCCCCAGAAATACTCAGTCTTGTGAGTCACTTTCTTGGTCTTCTGAAACAAAGATGCAGAAGGCAGGGCATTCTTAGTGAGACCAATGGCCCCCTCTTACCACCTTTCACACATCTGTTTTGGTTATAATCCTGGTCAAAGTGGGAAAAAACAGTAAGTTTTATGTACCAAAGGTTTCTTTACCTGAACTCCCTCATCATACCTGGAATGCTTAAATATTCAGTGAAACTATGCTCTATTAATTATAATTCTTGATAGAAACTTATTTAATTAAAGCCTTCTGTAGAATCATTTACATTATATGTAATCCAAAAAGTCTCAAAAGCAGTAATGTGTGTGTACACGCGCGTGCACAGACACGTATACACAGCATTAACGTAGATAGCTTGTTCCATAGTTTGTTGGAATGGTATCTCAGACCCCAATTCTGCAGATTTCTGCTTACTTTCTACCCTTCCCTTAAATGAAATTACTATTTTAAGAACTATAATGCTTATTACAAAAAGTCACAAAATACAAGCAAAGGGGGAACTATTTTAAAATATCCATAATCTCGATTATTCACATAAAGATGAACACAGTGAACACTTGGCATATAGCTAGCTTTTTAATTCAGATATACCTAATATTATTACTTTTTTCTTTTTGAGACACAGTCTCACTCTGTTGTCCTGGATAGAGTGTCACAGCACACAGCAACCTCAAACTCTGGGGCTCAAGCAATCCTCTTGCCTCAGCCTCCCAAGTAGCTGGGACTATAGTCACCTACCACCACACTTGACTAGTTTTTCTAATTTTAGTAGAGATAGGGATCTCCCTCTTGTCCAGGCTGGTCTCAAACTCCTGAACTCAAGCAATCCACCTCAGCTTCCCAGAGTGCTGGGACTACAGGTGTGAGGTACTGCACCTGGCCTAAATACTTTATTTTCTAATGATAGCTCCCTGAATTGCCATCTACAAATAGAAGATACAAATTTTTGATAAAGAGCTCATTTTTAATCTTTATGTTTAGAAAATGAATTAGAAAACTGAAGCATCTATCCAAGAAAATGATTAATCTACTTCATAGTATCATATATTACTAAACATATTTAATTGAGTCTAAGGCCTGTGTTTTTTTCACATTTAACATGTCTGAAATCTAGGTGAACTTTATAATGTCATGAGTTAATGAGTAGCATTTTTACTTAATGTTTCATAAAATAATGGCACTTCTTATTATTAAGGACATCTTAAAGTTATATTATGCAATCTATATTAAGAGCTAACAAATATATATTTGATATACAAACATAATACAAACATAAATATACAGACACATATATCATACACGTAGTTTCTTTCCTACTATTAAATTTGTTCCTGATTGTATGGATAAAATATACACTTCTATACCGTTAAGATACTTTATTTCAAATGCTCTGACATTTTGAGCGTGTGTGAGAATTACTAGTTCAAAATTTGTGGAGAAAAGGCAGAAACTGAGGATGAGAAAATCACTAATTAAACAGTGATTTTGGCTGGGGATGGTGGCTCATGCCTGTAAACCTAGCACTCTGTGAGGCCAAGGCAGGGGGATTGCTTCAGGTAAGAAGTTCGAGACCAGTCTGGATAAAGTGAGAACCCATCTCTACTAAAACTAGAAAAAAAAATCAGCCAGGCACGGGGGTGGACGCCTATAGTCCCAACTACTTGGGAGACTGAGGGAGCAGGATGGCTTGAGCCCAGGAGTTTGAGGTTGCTGTGAGCTAGGCAGAGGCCATAGCACTCTAGCCTGGGAAACAGAGTAAGGCTCTGTCTTAACAAACACACACAACAATGATTTTCCTAAAGATAAGCAAATGCAAAAGGGAGAAAGGGAGAAAGTTATAGACTAGAATACACCGAATGTTACACCTGAAGTTTCTAACACAGCC